AACTTCTTGCTCAACCCATCTGGCTGCCCCCCACCCTTATCAGAGTGGATATTCCAAGAGGGTCTCATTAGTCCATCCTGTCCTTGAGACTTGTCACCTACATCTTATGACTACCGCTCATTATTCTGGTGAGCTTCAACCTTTTCGTTCATCTCAGGAAAGTTTGCTGTGTTGCTTTTCTTTAGGGGTCTGTACTTCATCCTCCTTAGGGGTCTGCCCTTAGGAGTACCTTTTGTGTTTCCCTTGTCCAGGAGAAAAAGACCATTGTGCTATAGCGCTTGAGTCAGAGCTGATTTTTCAAGTCTCACTGGAGGTTTAGCTTTTAAGGATGTCTTCCTTTCTCCTCTAAAACAGTTACTTCTGCCATTTTGTTTCCCTCACATTTGTCCCCTTACACTGGGAAAGCGAAACTCTGAGCTCCCCCACTCCCAGACCAGTCTCTCCTCTCTGCTGCCCTGGGCTGCAGCTCTACCCACCTCTGACCTTTGTCTATTCATGTCACACATGACCCAACACACGCACGGGCACTATGGGTGCATAGTGCCTTTCACATGCAGGTGTTCACACACATATACACACCACTGCAAAACTGGGAACATGTTGGTCATACACCTGCTGGTTAGCTCTGGGTCAACTGCCTGTCACTGATCCAATCACGTATGGCCTGGGAGCAGAGGAGGCAGCACCAGGATGGGTATCCAGCACACCTTCTAGAGTCCCATGACAATCAAACCTGCCTGGCACAAATCCATACCCTCCAGAGACCAAATCATACTGCTTCTCCCAGATGTATCTTGCTCTTTGTCATACTTCAACTTTCTTTTCTCTCTGCCTGAAATGTACTTGTCCCCCATCAACCTTCTCGTGTGCGCCTATGTGCACACACACTGGGAACTGAGCCTGTAGTGCATACTAAGCACACTCTACCTCTGAGCTACACTCAGCTCAACCTTTTTTACACATACAATTCAGTGGTTCATTGAATTTAGTTCATTCACACTGCTGTGCATCACCACTAATTTCAGAACAACCTTCAAAAGAAACTGCATACCCATTAGTGGTAACTTCCCACTTGCCCCCCAGGCAACACAGATTTGTTGAACTCTCTGGGTAGTATCTAGACATGGGTATTAAGCATATTGGCATTGCTGACAACACTGCAGTTAACCTTCTGAGAAACTGCCAGTTTTCAAAAGTGGCCGCACCACCACCTACGTAAGATGGCTCCAATTCTCCATACCCTTATCAGTTCTTGTTCCTTTGTATATAGCCATCCTAGTGGATGTGGAGAGCAAGCTCACTGTGCATCAGCCTCCCAAACCTCACACTTTAAAAGCCAGCTCAAATCTAACCACTTTTGGCATTTTATGGTGAGCCCCTGGGCAACTGTAGTCACTCCTGGTGCCCTGACACCATAGCTCACACCCGTTAAGTGTTCATCCATTATCTACTGAGCACCTGGTACATGCCAAGCACCACTCCAGGCGCTAAGTGTATTAACAAAAGACTCAACAAAACAAGCCAAAAACCTCCCATGCCCCTGTGGAGGTGATTCTAGTGGGAAGACAAAGTTTGCCAGGTGGTGGTGCGTGCTATGGAGAATACTGGAGCCTAACTGGGCGACAGCATGCCAGCAGTGTGGTGGTGGTAATTTTAAGTGGTCATAGAAAGTCAGACTGAAAAGTTCTACATTTGAGTAGGAACTGAAGTTTCAACTGAGGTATTTTTAAGATGTAGAGGAAACACTAGACATAGGTTTAGAATACAGAGAATAGAATTCAGGTAGACAGAAAAATGGAGGCACTAATAAGCAGAAACTGAAGTGTGGCCTCTGCCCAGGGTGAAAGCTTACCAGTGTGCTGTCCTAGAAGGCAAACATGTTATTAGTTTCCCATTGTTGTAACCAATTACCACGAACATAATGGCTGAAAACATGCTTAAAGCTGGGTGTGGTAGAGCACACCTATAAACCTATAAACTCAGGAGGTGATCATAAGCATCTGAAGTAGGTGTAGTCAACATTCTTCCTGCTAGCCTCCTTTTATCTTTCTCAGATTATCCTGTTTTCGTAATATATTTAGTTTGGAAAAAAAAAAAAAAAAGGCTGGCAGAGTGGCTAAAGTGGTAGAGCATGTGAAGCCGAGTTTAAGTCCCAGTACTGCTGGGGTGCATGGCTTCAAACCCCAGTACCATCAAAGAAAGGTTTAGGAGTCTTCAAGGTGAAAGCAAATGAGAGTACTGTGACTGAGGTGGTTCTAAGATCTATGTGAAATCATAACTAAACAGTCTGCATCACATACTCAATTGCACAATTGCTAAGTGCAGAGAAGGCTGTGTACTGAACTTAGCCAAAAATGGGAGTTAAGCCAGTATGATGAAGAGACGAGGCAATTTACTGTATAGACAAGAGTGATTACCACAGTGGAGCACAGACTCTAAAATGGGTAATGAAGGACACAGTTAGGCAGCAGAATCAATGGATTAGAATACTTGCTATGTAGTCCAGGCTGGCCTCAAGCTTGAGATCCTTTTATCCTTGCCTAGTAAGTGCCGGGATTACACACATGTACCAGTATTTACTAAAACCTTATGTCTACACATCTGATTCCTTTAGACTGCAATCCTCCAATGTGGGATCGGGATCTTACCTTTAAATCCTTGGCATGTTAGGTTTGTTGTCTGGATGGAAGCTTACCCACCCTCAAATCCTAAGATACATGAAGTTGCTAATTCCTCCCTGCTCTGTAAGACTCTAAAAATTGCAATGCTTCATCAAAACCTATGATATAGGCGGGATGCTAGTGGCTCACACATGTAATCCTAGCTACTCAGGAGGCAGAGATCAGGAGGATCTTAGTTAGAAGCTAGCCCCAGGCAAATAGTTTTCCAGACCCTATCTTTAAAAAAATCCATCAAAAAAAAAAGGCTGGCAGAGTGGCTCAAGTGGTAAGAGCACCTGCCTACCAAGCGTGAGGCTAAGCTCAAACCCTCTTGCTGAGAAAAAACAAAACTCTACGGTACAAATACTTTAAAAGGAGACAAAAGATGCTAAATTCCTAGTGCTGAGTCCAAGAATAGAACAATAAAATGAGCCAGTTGTATCTCAACTATGGTTAAGTAGGTTCTTATTGAACACCCAGGTAACATGGTTACCTTTAAACTTCCCAATCTCTATTTTACCCCCTTGCAATAAATTAGCAATGCCAAAAACAGACCTTGAAAAATACCACAAGAGCAGTGGGGAGGAACACAGACACAAACGAAAATTTTGGAGTGGAGAAAAAAAAAATGCACAAACAGCATGTAAAATATGTTTATTGTTCTTTAAAAGGGTTCAGGGTTTGGTTTTAATTCAGGCTGCACACCTTTTATCAGTCTGACATCTCTCAGCATGTCACACTGGCTTCCACTCACAATACTTCATTAAATCCAAAAGAGAAAAATTGTTTTAATTTTGAGAATAAAATCCAGTTCTGAGAACAATTAACATTAGTCTGTAATTTAAAACAAAATAGGGGCTGTTTCATGTTGCTTTCTATATCCTTCTCCTCCCACAGAGCCAGGAATGTAACTCTCCTAACTTAGGCAGGCACTGATCCTGTTGGACACTGTGTGCATGCACAGGTGTGCACCAGACAACCCCATACCACACAATGTGCAGCATGTCAAATGGAAAGGTTCTGATGGTTCTGATCAAAAACCTTAGAGTCAATAGTCTGTCAAAACTTAAGAGGGTAGGATGTTCTGATCTTGAGTCTATGTTAAAGGAATCTATTGTCATGTTCAGAAATAAAAGAACTTTGGATAGTACCATCATTTTTACTTTAAAATTCTAAAAACAATGTCAAAAGCATTATTTTTCATTTTCTGGGATGAGGGAGGAAAGAATCTACAGATTTGCATTTAGTTAAAAATCAAAACTCCGGCAATAAGAAATAGGCAGTTCACATAGCCAGCCAACGTCTGAGGTATTATCAGTTTGAGACAAGGTCCCAGTCCATTCCTACTGGCCTAGCTGATGCTAAAAAATGGGAAGCTTATGGCTCTGCACAGCGAATTCCAGCAGAAAATGGATGACTATAACCCTGTATTTGGGGCCATACAGCAGGGCACTGTAAATATGCAATTATTTAGGTGAAAAGAGTACAAGAGCCTCTGTGGATGCCTCTCTGCTTGCTTTGTCAATGAGGCCTGGTTATAGCTCCCTTCTGCAAATGAGAAAAACAGCTTTTCTACATCCGCACATTGAACCCAGCAGAGAATCTGCAAAAATGCTACCACACCCCTCCAACAAGCAGCACTATCCCTTTGCTACTCATTGGGTTGCCTGATGTCTCTTCTACCCTGTTACAGCCTGTGGACACACACTAGGCATTCCTGGTTCTAAACCAGTGGTTTTTTTGTTTGTTTTTTCTTTTCTCAAACAGAACCTAGTAAGGAAATAACAAGGCAAATGGTGGATAAACTGAACTGTACATACAGGGAGAAGTTTAGAAAGTAAACACCACAGGCATTTCTCAAGACCAAAATACTGTGAATTTGCTGTTGCTGCTTTGACTATTTCTGAAAATTCAGACTACAAGTAAGTCCTAAAAGAATTTGAAGCTTCAGCACTCTCTGACATCATTAGACAGAAAGTCACAAGAGTACTATAGCCCACCAATTCCACAGTTTGTAGAAAGTGTGCTAATTCTCTGCTTGGACACATCTTTAGTGATGACCTGGAGTCGTCTTCTTCTGAAAACAAGTTTCTGGGATACCCACTTAGCTTCATTAGTTGGGAAAGAGAATATTCTACTCTCAGCTAAGTTATATGAGCAGATTCCTCTTCAAATGCCATTTCCCCACTAATTTACCAAAACAAAAGGCTCTTGGCCCCCTTGTCTAATATTAGATCAAGGCTTTGAGGAAAAGAAACTAACATGAACACCCCATTATCAGTAAAGACTAAAAACCACCTGGATCATTTTATATATATAATGCTTTTTTTTTTTCTTTTCTTTTTTTTTTTTTCTGGGTGTTTTTGTTTTTTTGTTTTTGTTTTTTTTCCTAAAAGTGCCCAGGTGGGCTTAAGGCTGCCAGACTGCACACACACCTACAGCAACAAGGGCTTCTTCTATTCCATTTACAACGTGTATGGGGGGGGGGGAGGATGAGAAAGGAGAGAAAAAGGGAAAAACATGCCCCTCATCTCCCCCAAATCCCACAATAGGGAGGTCTATGTGCCAAGCATAATGGAAGAGTGTGCTCCCCAAACACATGGTTCTGCACAGGTTAATATTCTGCTGGTTTCCTTAGAGACCTATTCTGAAAAAGTTAAAAAAGAGATTTTGAAATTATTCAATCCTGGCAGAAATTAAAACTCCAAAACTAGGAGTAAAATCATCCTTCACTGAATTAATCCCTCCTTCCTCTTTCTATTCTCTTTTCTTAAACATTTTATTCATGTTATAGAGGGATTTCTTTGTTGTTTGCTTTTTTCCCAATTATTAGGAGTTGAGGAGTACTGAATCCATCACTACTTTGATGACACAGGTAAGATTCCAGATTCACATTTCCAGGTACCAAGAGTTCCCTCTGAATGCCACAATTAAGCAAGCTTTCATTTGTTTCTTTCTACTGAACACAGCAATGCCCATTGGTATCTCTGAAGCGTAATCGCATCTTAGGTCGGTATTTCTCCAAGTAAAGCAGCTGCTTGGAATTAAATGCTCCCCTTCTTTTTCTGAAAATGTAAGAATGACAAATGTTACATAAAAAAAAGCAATGATTCACTGAAACACATTATTTATGGCCTAAGGCCTAACTAACCTCACCCTGCCAAAACCCAGCATATTCCCCAGGCAGTGTCACTTTTTAAAGATCTAAGTTGCAGCATGAACTTCCTAAGCTCCTGAAAGGAATTTTTTCCTTCGTTGTCATTACAGTCTATTTAAATAAAGATCAGAATTCCTTATCCACAGACATATGATTATATTCTTCCCAATTAGATTAATATATTCTTCAGATTAGAATGAGCACCAAGAATTTGAGATGCTTTTAAAACAAAAAAACAAAAAATCCAGAACATATCAAGCTGCAGCACGTTCAAGACATACATACATGGCATTCACTAAAATGTTTTCATCCTAGAGCTGCAGCTATGCATCTCATGCCCTGCTAGTCTCTTTTTCTTTCTTTCTTTCTTTCTTTGTGGTACTGGAGTTTAAACTCAGTACCTTAGGCAGTCACTCTTCTACCTGCATCACACTCCACACCCCTTTTCTTTCTTTTTTTTAAAGAAAGAAGGAAATGGAAGGAGCAAGACAGTAATTGTCAAGGAATTCTGGATAACAAAACAGCATGGCCCATTATTTCAGACCAATGCCAAGATTCTGTCTGGCCACTATCATCATGATTTTGTGCCTCAACAGGTCACTTAAAGAGTTCCAGGTAAGGAGGTGTAGCTCAAGTGATAGAGTGCCTGCTCTACAAGTGCTAAGCCCTGAGTTTAAACCCCAGTCCCACCAAAAAAAAAGAGTCCCATGTGATTAAACTGCTCCTCTATATGTTCTTGCATCCTGTTCATACAAAATTCCACTTGGAAGGTATTCTGCAATCTACGAAAAGACTAGATTAAGATGCTACCTAAGATTCCTGGATATTCAAATCATACACCAGACATATTCTATAATGTTCAAATTTGACACCCAAATCAGAAAATCTTTAAATCTATGAGCCAGTAGTATTGAATCTCTTTATAATGTGGTCTAAGTTTGTTTGTTTGTTTTTAACATCTTCAAACAATATTTTAAAGCCCAAACCAGCAAATTGTTCCGTACTACAAATGGCATACTTTAATTCCTTCCTCATATTTGATCTTTTTGCTCTATGTGTTTCTGAACTAAAGTTTCATACTCACTGTCTTATAAACTGAACTGCATCTTCATACTTCATTCCACATTCAATCAAAGCAAGTGCAACCAGCACAGGTGCCCTGCAGGAAGAAAATATCCATGAAATCTTTGGAATTAAATGATTTTTTAAAAACTCAGAATTACATCTTACCAAAAGCTTTGAGCTTTCAATTAATTTCCCTGCATACTAACATGTCTGATATTGTCATATATAGTAAAAACATCTCTTATTATTAGCGCATCTTTGGTGTCTGTTTTTAGTAAAACACTAAATTCTGAGCCTATAGTAAGAGATCTTTTCTTTTTAGGATCCCTCCCCGCCACCTTTTTGATGGTACTGTGGTTTGAACTTAGGGAGGGCCTTGTGCTTGCTAGGTAGCCATTCCACCACTTGAGCCACAACCCCAATCTGAGATCTTTTCTTCCTAAAACATCATCACAAGCCAGGTGTGGTGGTACATGTCTGTAATCCTAGTACTTGGGAGGCTGAGGAAAGAAGATTCAAGTTCATAGCCAGGTGAAGCTACATAGTGAGGCCCTATCTCAAAGCAAAACCCTAAAACACTACATTACATCTCAAAATCTTCTTATATATATGTATATATAGAGATAGATATCAACGTGTATACTGGTGTGTGTAAAATCAAAAATTCACTGCAGTAATTATCACAGTAAAACAAATGGCAAAATGTGTCTCAGAATTTTCATTACAAATTGATTTTATATTTCCTGACCACATGCTAAAAGATGCTGGATTTTTTTCAACAAAACTCTTTTGATGAGCTGAAGTACCAAAGAATTGATAATTAGGAACAGCCCTCTTTCTATTTTATAATCTAACAAAGGAAATGATGTTTCAAAAGCCCATACAGAACATCAACTGTGGACTACCTACTGGGTGGGATAGCTACTAGAAATAAAATTGCACCAAGTAAACTTTTTAACACTATCTTCAGCCTTCACGTTAGGTACCGACCAAAACTTCTGACCTGGACTGGAGGTATGGCTCAAGCAATAAAGCGACTGCTTTGTAAGCTGGAAGCCATAAATCCAAACTCCCTTTCCACAAAACAAGAAAACCAACAAAAAAATCAAGTGTTCCCGTAGCTGGAGTTCAAAAGAGCCAGGCATGGTGCGTATCTGTAATCCCAGCACCTAGCAGCCTGAGGCAGGAAGATCAAAAGTTCAAGGCCAGCCTGGGCTACATATTGAGACTGACTCAAGAAAAAAGTATAAAACATTAAATTAAGTTAAAAATACAAAAAAAACTTCTGATTTTATGACAAATGTACCACACTAAAAAAGGACTAGACAGAGTTTACAGTCTGAGTCACCATTACCTTGAGGCAATGGCCGCTTGTACCAATGTTTTAGGTCAAAGCATACATCATAAATTGGTTTTTAATTTGCTATTGATTAAAGTATTACACTATTCCAAGCAATGTTCATTGAAGTTTTTAAGATCTACATCAATTCTGTCTACACATCCTTTCACAAAACTTTAAAAGGTCAACCATCTGTTCTCACCTTTTAACATCTCATTCATCTCAATCTCAAATTAACCATGTATAGATTCACCTCCTATCTCTCTAAAATGATTTTAACTTTGTTGCCCACTTCAATGACCTAAATCTCTGATTACTTGAAATAGGGAAAAAAATAAAACTAAGTTCAACATGACATCAGAATCAGACACCAGATGAATGAAATACAAAAGGCTGTTATGACAAATCATCACACTAGCTTTTGCTCTCATCTTCTTTCCAGTCATTTAATATTTTACAAGCAAACTGCTACAAGAATAAAAATTTTTAACTGGCTTATTTAGTCATGATAATGAATGCTGACAAAAGGCTAAGAGTTTACCTTCCCAATCCTGCAACACAATGCACTGCAACACAGCAACCTGGCTCTTCACGAAATTTGGTTTTTAACAGATTCAACCAATCATCTACTATTTGATTAGGGGGTGGAGCTCCATCATCAAATGGCCAGTCCTGAAAAGAAATGACCTCTTACATTACATTGGTATTTCCTCTGGGACTTAATATCTTAACGCAGAAGAGCTGAACACAGTAGGGCAGGCCTAACTGAACTAACTATATCACATATACCTAGTAATACAATGCTGATCACTGCTGAAAAATCACACAAGATCAAAATTTAACTTTGTCAAATAATTTAGTTTTCTCAATGAAATGCAATCAGTGTCACACACATCTAAAATTTATCTTACAAAGATCACTTTATCACAGTCCTAACAGCTAGTGTTCTCTCAAATATTACACCTGAGTAGAGTAGTAATTAGCTATAATAGAGAAAAATTGTACTTAAAGCCAAGACTAAGTAAGAGAGAACAAATACTTATTAATATGATCTAAAAGTTTACTCTGGTAGTCTACCAGCTGGAGTTTCACTGGTTTCTACAAGCATTTTTGTAGATTATCCCCCAAATGACTCGTCACAAATTTAATAAAAAGATATTGCTGTCTTTCCCTGTACTTAAAAATTTTTGTTAAAAAAGGCAAGTAACAAAATTTTTAAAACCTTGCCTTACACATTTCCCATTTAACAAGGACAGTGCCACGCTCCTGAACAAATGGAGATCATTTTCTCAAGCATCCTTTTTGTATTCAACAATTTGAGTTGTCTTCTGACCCCACATGCATTACTATTAGGTAGGAGCTTATCTTCCTTGCTAAGCCTAGCAAGAGGTCCTAACAAACCAATACAAACGCGCAGGATTCACATTTTATACATCATCTCCCCTTATACACTGTTGGGGAATCTTTTTTAAAAATGGCTATCATTATTGGCTAACACATTAAGACACTAGTTTGAAGAAAAAAAAGAAAAAGCAACAGAGGGCTAAAATAATTCTGTACTCCTTATTGGCACCACTAGAACGCTTCACATACATAGTCCATTAGCCACAGAAGTACATTATGTTTGAATTGTCAACTACGACCCATAGTTAAAGGGCTGCCAGTGTTATTACAAATGTCACTACACAGTTTAACTGTAAATAGCAAGATGGGTGAACGCTGTAGTTGAGAGCTATGAGAGTCTAATACTCCCTAAAATGCACCTAGTTAAGAAAGGGAAGTATAAAATATGCTTCCCTTACTCACATAAATACCTACTATTTTTTAAAAAAACACTATTCATTTAGAAATATCTGAAACTCAAACTAACACATATGAAATCACCATTACTCCATTTTTATTGTGTCTTTGATTTGTAAAAGCAAAGGACTGAGAGGTCTTATTTGGGGAATATCCTCTTATAGGGAAATGTTCCCAACCCTCTTTTATCACTGGAAAATGTAAATGTATTTCACCTTAAATCTGTGTGGGGGAAAAGGAAATTTTGAGCTTAACGCTAAAGGTTCTTGTTTTTTTCAAGCTTAAGTTAGACCTTTAATTTTATCTGATCATAGCTATTTAAAACAAAACCAAAAGCTAAATTTAAAAACCTAGAACAAATCCAAACTTACCATTATGTTCTACAAACTAGGTACAGGTCTTTTAGTTCCTTTCTATTTCACAAAGGTGTTTACCAACACTACTGATTCAAACAGACAATGGTTGACCCAAAGTCATTTTCTGACCATGACACATATCAAAACAAGTTGATTTCTCATTTACTCACTAGAGAACATATTCACAATACAGTGAAATTAACTTATATTTGGTTTAACTTCAGAACTTAAAAGTTTTTGTATTTATTTATTCATTTTTGTAGTATTCAGGGCTTCAAGCTTTGCTAGGCAGGTGCTCTACCACATGAGCCACTCCACCAGCCCTTTTTTTGTATTGGGTATTTTCAAGATATGGTCTCTTGAACTATTTTGCCAAAGTGATCCTCCTGATCAGCCTCCCAAGTAGCTAGGATTTTTTTTTAATTTATTTTTTTTTTAATATAAAAAAATAAAAAACACAGGACTGGTTGGTGGTGGCTCATGCCTGTAATCCTAGCTAATTGGGGAGCTGAAATTGGGAGGATGGAAGTTCAAGGCCAGCCTGGACCAGTGTGAAGCCATGAATTCAAACCACATTAAAAAAAAAAATTTTTTTTTAAATTTAAAAACCCACAGGGATACATTTTACGCATGCATTTATCCCCAGTGATTTCCAGCCCATGGACAGTAAAGTCATTTAAATACAGGAATATAAGCAAATTATTATCATTCCAAACTACTGAAACAAAATTTTTAAAAAATGTTTAGCTATTTAATTTTTGTGCTTATAAAGATATTAAGTGAGGAAACTTTATGGCTCAGACATGAAATGACTGTCTTACCAAAAGGAAATTTATTGTTTCCGTACATGAAGTGTCTTCTCAACCACTGACCAATATAATACAGACTACAGAACTACCTCTCAATAAAAAGTAAGACCGTAACTTTGAATGGTGTATTACTTCCTTCCTACCTAGCTACTGACAAAATTTCCAGATCTTTTCCTACTGCTTTCCAACAATCAAGACCATAAGGTCATTTCATCACATACTCCTAAAAGCTACTCCTATAATTCAGACAGCTATTTAGGGAAGAAGGTATAAAATTTTAACTAATCTAAGACTCCTGTTTTCTATAAGGAAATAGCATATTTAGGTACTAGTGAGGAATGTGAGATAATTAAAATCACTTTATGTTCAAATCCAACTATGAAAGAACTCTAACACCACAAAAGCTCCTCAGAAACCTACCACAGTGTCAATGCAGCAAGATGCATTCTCCTCATTCTCTTCTTCTACCTTTTTGTTCTCTACAAATTATCAAGTAACTAATCTGGTACTTGTAAAGTGACAGAGAATATTTTTATATGTAAAGTAAGAATGTCTGATAGACATTACTTTGTTATATTCAACTAGGAGCCTAGAAAGGAAAGCTATGTAAAGTTCCTAGAGATGGGATGGGGAGGGTGAAGGAAGGAGATTAAGGTGACAGTTTATGGTAGATGAATTTCACATACCTGTATGAAACAGAACAAAGAAACCTCCTACAATTGCTTTAAGTGGGTAGGGAGGAGATTGAGGGGGAGAGACTATGGGGGCAATGTAAGTAATGTACAATATAAATCTAGTAAGAATTGTCACTATGCATCCCCTCTGTATAATGAATATGTCCTAATAAAAATTTATAAAAAATACATTTCCTAAATAAAAAATGCAAATTTCCATTTTCTTGAAGTAAGTGTGAACTAAAATTTTTTTGTGTTAAAAATACTCTGCATTTGTAGACTTAAAAGGACACAAATGAATAAAGATGTATTAATCCAAAAGAATTTTAAAAGACTGATACTGGGCTGGTGGAGTGGCTCAAGTGGTAGAATGCCTGCTTAGTAAGCATGAGGCCCTGAGTTCAGGTCCCAGTACCACAAAGATAAAAAAAAGAAAAGAAAAGCTTGATATTAATACTCATCTCCTAATTTTTTTTTTTAATTCTTCTATTCACATGTGCATACATTGTTTGGGTCATTTTTCCCCCCTTCCCTCCTCCCCCACCCTCTCCATCTCCTATTTTAAGCTTAAATCACAACTACTGTGTGCCAAGTTTTATAAGTATTTTTTTGAAAGGTACAACTTATTTGTAGCAAAAAACTAAAACTCTACACACTCACTAGAACGTGGATTCCTTCTTTTTCAACTGGAGCTTTATCATATGTAGCATCACAAACTCGAACCAGAGTTGTCACTCCATACTTCTTAAGTTCCTGTAAAGAAAAACAATTATAAGGGAACTTGCCTTTGGAACCTGCAACCAAAGCTTTAGAAATGTACTATTATAAGTTGAAATAATGAGCTATCTTTCTTAGACAAAGATCAAAATCGTTCTTGCTATAGTAACATACGTAATGGACACTATGCACTCTCAGTGGGAGGTAAGACTTTTTTTTTCTAAAGGGTAATTTGGTAGCATAACTCAATGAAATTCACATACACTTTGACCTAGAAATTCTATTTCTGGAACTATATTAAAAGGGAAAAATTAAAGACATACACAAAAATTTAGGTAGCAGAATATTACCACAGACTGCTTAGAATGGTTAAAAAGGTAGGAACAATATTAATGGTCCAAAAACAAGGGGCTAGTTAAAGGAAGTATAGCATATCCATGCAATATTCATTCATTCATGGATTCATTGCATGAATGCTTGACACTTTTATCAAAATACTAAGGAGCCTGGGGGAAGAAATTTTTTTCTACACATGTATTTGTACATATACCCACATATGTAGAAAAACATCCAGAAGCCAGGTAACTAACAACTGTTTTGAAATTGTATTATTCTGCTTTTCCGAATCTTATGATTTTAATGTAATAAACTCTCTTACTTTTTTTCTTTTCCATTCTGGGGATGGAACATGCACTTTCCACCACTTGAGCAGGGTGAAACATGCACTCTTATCACTTAAGCCATGCCCCCAGACCTTCTGTTTGTATTTTTGTTTTTGAAGGAAGGTGTCTACCTTTGCCCAAGATGACTTCAAACTCAAGATTCTTCTGTCTCCACCTCACCTCCTGCACCACCACACCCTGCTACTGCCTTTTTTTTAATGTAAAAACCAATAAATAAAAATCAATTTTGAAATTAAGATTAAAAAAATGGTACATTAAAAAGACAGCTAATGCACAATTACAGCCAGAGATGCCTTCCTTCTCTAAACTCTTCCTGAGGGGCTGGGGATATACCTCAGTGGTAGAGTGGCTGCCTAGCATGTGCAAGAGTCTGGGTCTAACCCTTGGGGTGGGGCTAGGAGTAAGATCCTCTTACTGCAGTAACTGCCTGAACCGCTGACTGCCTACCTTCAAGGGGTCATGCAGTGGCCTTTACTACTTTTAGAGTATATAGCCAAAGAATCCATAGGTTGAAAATAGCAACACCCAATTCAGCCAGGCTTAAAGGAGACTGAATAGCCTAAGGGCATACAAACCTAGAATCAACTTATACACTATGTACATGAAGTTAAGAACTTCAAAGAGACCAGATGTTAGTGGCTCATGCCTGTAAGCCTAACTACTTGGGAGGATGAGACCTGGGAGGATCCAGGTTCAAGGTCAGCCCAGACAAATAGTTAGAAAGACCTCATCTCCAAAATAATGGACTAGAGGTGTGGCTCAAGTGGTAGAACACTGGATTTGCAAGCAAGAAGCCTTGAGTTCAAACCCTAGCCCCACCACAAAAAAATAATAATAGTAATTTTTTATGGTAAGAATTTGTTACCAGGTCAAAACTTTTAGTTGGCTCAACTTTACCACCTATAAAATGAGAACCCCTAGGAAATCATCCAGATCTCTAAGTCTACTCATAAATACAGCAACAGAAATCACACTTAGACTGAACAACCTGGAAATTCAGGACTGGAGGTATGGCTCAAAAGGTAGAGACTCTACTTTGCAAACAAGAAGCCCTAAGTTCAAACCCCAGTCCCACCAAAAGGAAAAACAAGTTTACATTCAAATGTCTGGTGAAATAACGAGTTTCTCCATTTCCAATAGGAAAAAAAAAAATTATACATCTGATACAATGCTACCTATTATAAGAACTTTGGTGAATGTCCCAAGGTACCCCAGCACAAAAATAATTCTTAAAAAAAGATTAAAATAATAATAATAATAATGCTACCTAACAACTTTGCCTCCCCCAAGTTTCTGGACTCCTATTTGTGATGAATATTATTATGAAGTCGTTCTGGGGTGTCTTTTTATCAAGGGTGCTAAGAACACGCGAGAGTTTTAGTATGAGACCTGGGTTAAGTGCCAGTTTTACCACGTACAATGTTCTATTGAATAAATCATGAGTCTCAATTTCAACATGTACAAAAGAGAAATGATAACAGTACCTACATCTTGCAGGATTTTTCTATCTGACTTTCAGCACATCCATCCATTGAATAACATTATTTATTGCAATGTTGAGTATATACTATGCTCAGAAAGTGTGAATATTTTAATTATTGAAAGCAGTAATAATAAACGTAGAAAGAACATAAGAAAAAAACGTAGTACTAGATTATCTTTACAGTATTCACAAATTACCTAAGTGCTCTTTCAAAAATCTATTGTAACTAATTTGACCCAATTCAAATCAGGATTGGGAGGATCAATACCACATTTCAATTACAGGGATTTTGCTTATAAAACAACCCCCCAAAAAAACCAAACTATGCTACCACCTTACCTCTGTGAACTTGCTGAGAGTAGCATTGGTAGGGTTGTGAGTTATCAAAAAGCGCAGGTTCTCATAGGAGATCTCCACAGGTGCTGGACGGTTCATTATGGCAAATAAGTGTGAGCGTGAGTGTGAGTGTAATGGGGAAAATGAAAAAAAATCAATAAATCTTGAAATGTTTCACAGCAGAAAACATTAAAAAGACCACTAAAATGCCTATTGTTGATCAGTATTTTCTCTATTCAACTTGTTTGTTCCTTATGACACTTCTCTCTTCAAGACAGGCAGAAGTATGCAGAATCCACTCAAATCCAAATTCAATTTGGGCCTCAATGTCTGCAGATGGATACCTTCAGACTCCAAAAAAAAAAAAACCAACTACATAGAAAACTTAAGCAGCCTTTACTACATTTAGGCACTAGTGAGACAAGCTAAAAGTGTAGGTCGTTTCACTTTTGTTTACTTGATGCTAAATTTTACTGGAGTCATTAAAAGAAATATGCTTGCAATTAAAAAAAAAAAAAGCCAACAATTTCTGAGGCCGGTCTTGGTGTCCAGAGTCTTCAAGGCAATGTTAATTATGGCACATAGAACCCCCAAGCTCACTTGTCAGCGAAAACGCTGTGCTGAGCCTGGCAGAAGTCTGCCCTCACGCTCAGAATCGCCATAAATGTGCAACGTATATTCCAACGAAAAACCTGGGGGGAAAAAGCATAAGTAAAATGAAATGAGGTGGTAACATGGTAAACATGAAGCTTTAAATAAATACATTATTTGGGAGACAAAGACATGTAAAATGTCACCAATTCTAAATTATCGCCACCTATGAAGAATAGGATAAAGGAGTATACCCTTTTAAAAATCAGAGACTTGCTGAGTGCGGTGGCTCAAAACCTGTAATCTCAGCTACTCTGGAGGTGAAGATTGGGAGGATTACTGTTCAAGGTCAGAAAAGGCAAAAAAGTTAGTGAGAACCCATCCTCACAAACAGCTGAGCATGCTGGTATTCGCCTGTTATCTCAGCTACATAAGAAGCACAGTAGGAGGACCATGGTCCAGGCTGTTTTAGCCAAAAACTGAGACCCTACCTGACAAACAACTAAAGTGAAAGGACTGAGGGCAAGGCTCAAGTGGTAGAGCACTTACCTAGCAAGTGTGAGACCCTGAGTTCAAACCCCAGCATAATGGAACAGGAGAGGGACAGACAGACAGACAGACAGAGACAGGGGGAAAGGGAGAGATTCAAAAGTATTATCTTTTTTCCAATCTGGGGTCAAGCCTGTAATTCTAGCTTCTCGAGAGGCAGGGATCAGGACTGAAATTGAATGCCAACTGAGGCAAAAAAGTTAGCCAGACCCCGTATCAACCAATGGCAGGGCATGGTGATGCAAACCTGTCACCCTAGCTACGTATGGAAGACCAAGGTCCCAGACAACCTGGGCATAAAGCAAGTTTCTATCTCAAAATAGCCAACACAAAATGGTCTGGTAGAATGACTCAAGTGATAGAGCACCTGCTTAGCAAGGGTAAAGCCCTGAATTCACTCTCCAGTATTGGGTGTGGGGGATAGGGGGAGACTGCGTTCAATGAAGTTTCTGTGCTGTTAAGATTATTTCTGCTTTTTGGTGCGGATAGCCCTCCTGTAATCATGATTAACGTTCCTAAAACCCAAGCCTTTATGTAAAAAGTGCAGCAAGCAACAGCCTCACAAAGTGACACAGTACAAGAAGGGCAAAGATTCTCTGTTATGAGAATCAAACGGCATTAAGACAGGAAGCAGAGTGGCTATGGTGGGCAGACCAAGCCCATTTTCTGGAAAAAAGCTAAAACTACAAAGAAAATAGTGCTGAGGCTTGAGTGTGTTGAGCCCAACTACAGATCTAAGAGAATGCTGGCTATTAGGAGTGCAAGCATTTTGAACTGGGAGGAGATAAGAAGAGAAAGGGACAAGTGATCCAGTTCTAAGCTCCATTTCTTGTTTTTTTATGAAGAAAATAAAATCATGAGGTCAATTTCACTTAAAAAAAAAAAGATGATTTCTAAGGCTTCAAGTTTCAACTCCCAGTACAACAAAAAATAAAGATTATTTTTAACACATTTTTAGTATCTTAAAACTCACTTAAATCTTTTTTTTTTTTGGCAGCACTAGGGTTTGAATTCAAGGACCTCACACTTGCAAGGCAGACACTTACCACTCTTACCACTACACCAGACACTTAAATCATTTTTAAATGATTAAAGGTAAACTTTCCTTCTACGGGCTTTTTTTAAAGGAATTCACAAAAATACCCTTATTTTTCGGCCTTTGATGATTAGGTATTTCACACATATTCATTTTTTAAAATAAGGTATACCTGGCTGTGTGATAGTGGCTCACGCCTTTAATTCCTAACTACTCGAAAAGTAGAGATCAGGAGGGTCATGGTGGGAGGCTAGTCTCCCAACACATAAAAGGGCTGGTACAGTGGCTCAAGTGGTGGAACGCCTGTCAACCAAGCATGACACCCTAAGTTTAAACCCCAATACCAAATCCCCCCAAAAAAAGAGAGAGATTGAAACCAGATAGAAAAACGCAGAAAAGATACTGGCTAGAGGCCATTTCAAGAAAAAAGTGAGATATAGGTAAGAACTGAGGCCTACAAACTTTGAAACCTAATCTATTCTCAAGTCTTTTGTGATTTTCTTATGGGTATTCTTTTTTGCTTGTTTGGCAATACTGGGGTTTAAACTCAGGGCCCCATGCTTGCTAGACAGATACTCTACTACTTGAGCCACACCCCTTTTACCAGTATTCTTGATGGTATTTTTATTTTGTAAGTTACATACTTGTGATTATATTAACATGGGTACAAATGCTAAAAGAAAAATTCTAAAATATTAAATATAAAATTCAAGCCAGGCAATGGTGGCTCATGCCTATAATCCCAGCTACTCAGGAGGCAGAGATCGAGGTTCAAATCCAGTCCAGGCAAATAGTTTGAGATCCTATCTCGAAAAAAGACAAAAACCTTCACAGAAATAGGGCTGGTGGAGTGACTCAAGGTGAAGGCCCTGAGTTTAAGCCCCAGTACCACACACACACACACACAAATATATATATATATATATATATATATATATATATATTCAAAAAGGCACCCTAAAAGCTTCAATAATACTTCAGCAAAATGAGTTACCCATTACTATGAAAATTTAAAACTTCCATACACAAAACTAAAATACACATCACCACTCTTTTAACTCGTAATTCCAACTGTAACCCCAAATCCACACAAAAATATTTTAAAGACTATTCCCTTGTACAGTCAAGGAATTTTACAGCTAGTGGAAATGCAGAGATGAACTACTCTGACCTTTTGAAAACTGAAAAAAAAAAAAAAGACTGGGTGTGGTGGTGCATGCCTATCTGTCATTCAGCTACATCAGGGCAGGAGGGAGAGAGCCATGAGGAGGAGGATCACCAGCCTGGACAAAAAGTTAGTGAGACCCCTCCCAACAAATAAGGGATATGGTGGCATGAGCCAGTGGTCCTAGCTACTTAACAGGAATAAGGAGGAGAGTTGAGGTGCAAGGCCAAACTAAGCAAAAATCAAACAACTAAAGCAAAAAAAAAAAAAAGCCAGGAGTAGAGGAGGCCAGGTGTGGTGATGCATACCTGTAATCCTACATGCACACATGCTGGGCAAACAAGAGGTAGAAGGATCTCTATTCAAGGCCAGCCTGGGCAAAAGATGACCCTATCTAACAACAAACTAAAGAAAAAAGGACTGGGGATGTGGCTCAAGTGACATGCCTAGCCTATCTGAGCTCAAAGCCCAGTACCAACAAAGAATAAAAAATAAAGATGTTGGAGGGTCAAAGACATTAACATGACTTAACTAAGACCACACAGCTAATCAGTAGTAAATCAAGGACAAGAACCTAGGCCTCCTAACTCCTTATTTTTCTTCAGTTTTGTAGGTAATCCAAAAAAGTGTATCTTTTCTTCAAATACCTGTTTCCATGATCATCTGCAACTGTGACCTTATAAGAAGGGAAGATTATTAAAGTAACTACTCAAAGAACAATGGTTTACATGCAGTGCAGAGTGAAACACAAGGAAATTCTACCCTGTTTGAATCCCTTTGGTTCAATGATGTTATCACATCTGTGTGTGTCAGCTGAGTCAAGGAAGTGAAAGGCCTGCATTGTAGCATGGCCAGGCTTAAAAGGTTACAGTTCTAGCATTAAGTTTTCTACCTAGTTTCTAGTGTTTGTCTGCTCAGCAAACAGAACAAACTTTATCCCATCCTATTCCTTCCATCTCATTTTGAAAGAACCATTTCCAGGGATAAGGATAATTCATCATTAGATTTTCAATTCTTAATACCAATAGCTCCAACAAAAGAATTTCTGCCAAAAAAAGTGGTATGTTCTATCAAACACTGTAATTCCAAGTTCAAATGAAAACAGAGCAAATTCAAAAGTATGGTGGGATTTTATAAAAGCAGCCCTATTTAATTTATCCCAATGTTACCGGCATTCTTTTAAAAACTGTATCAGTTCAACGTGAAGCATGCCTGCAATCCTAGCACTGGGACTGAGAATTCCAGGCAAGCTTGAACTACACAGTGAGTTCAGGGTCACCCAGTGCTACATATTGAGAACGTCACAAAAATAAATAAATAAATAAAAATAGGGCAGGGGCGGAGAGGTAGAGAGGTATCTAACCAGGGCTAAGGACTTGAGTTCAAACCCCAGTACTACAAAAAAAACACAGAATGTTAAAAAAAAAAAAAAATTCTATCAATTCATTCTCATCAAGCTTTCCACAAAAAAATCACATTTAGCTCAAAATTAAAAGATACAATAGACCTCTAATTTGATGGCCTATACCAAGTAACCACCAAATTAAAAACGTATTTTAACACAGATGCACAATAAAATAATTCTAGCTATGAGGAAATAAAAATCTAAAAACAAAGGACTGAAGAACTACAAGTAATCATATATTTACTGTATGATTTTCTTTACCAGAAATTCTACAGGAAGTCATGCAAATTTGAGTCAGCTTACTGTCTACAATCAGACAACATAAAAGCATAGCACATACTGTATATAAGACTAAAACCTTGCAACAATTTTTCCCTAGAACAAATTAATTTCACATCAAAAGACACTTGTACTTCTTATATTAAAATAAGTACAAATAACCTAATCTGTCAATAGTAAAGAATTTATCCAGATGAGGACCTAGACATTTTCCTTGCAAATGTCAAGAATTTATTAATTTAAATATTTATTGGAGTGTCACATACTCCATGGGGCAGCAAGGACATGGAACAAAAATTTCTGTCAAAATGGATCTTATATTGTCAAAATGGATGTTACATTTTAGTAACAACAACAACAAAAAAAAGACAAAAATGTTACTACCATGGGAGAAAATGCAAAGTAGGGGAGTTTGCAGTTTCAAAAAAGGAGGGAAGATATTAATTTTAAATAAGCCTATCGGGAAAGGACTTACTAAAACAAGTGGTATTTTATCCAAGAACCGGTGGTGTGAGCCAAGTAAGATACTTGGAGAGCATTTTAGGCAGAGATTAGCTGTACCAGAGATTATGAGGTGGGGACATGCTTAAGACTGTTCTAGGAACAGTAGGGCCAGTGCTACTGAACAGAGAGGACAAAGGGATGACGAGTCAGAGAAGTGAGAAAA